GTACCCCCACCACATCAGCAGGTGCCACCACAGGGCCCCCCAGTTCACCCTCAGCCGGCCCCAGTCCCTCTACCTCGGGACCCCGCTCCTTCCTTGATCGACCCTGGCTTCATAGAGAGGTACAGAAGACTGAACCCTTCTACTTTTACAGGGGGATCCTCTTTTGAAGAGGCCCAATACTGGCTGGCAGAGACTGAGAGAGCTTTCGAGACCTTGGGAGTAGTTCCTGAGCAGAGGGCTGCCATTACCTCCTACATGCTGGTAGGGGAAGCAGTACGTTGGTGGGAGCACAAGCGGACCACCCTGCCTACACCAGCTACTTGGGAGCAGTTCTTAACGGCCTTCCACGCGGAGTATCTCCCTAAACACATCCGACACCTAAAGGAAATGGAGTTTGCTCAATTGGTCCAGGGAAACATGACAGTATCCGAGTATGCCCGTAAGTTCCTGGAGCTGGGCCGATATGCCCCGGAGACATTGATGGATGAGGGCCGAAAGGCCAGGAAATTCCAGTGGGGTCTCCGCCCGGAGATCAGACAGGACTTACTGGTAATGGAGCTCGAGACATATTCAGCAGTCCTAGCAAAGGCGCATATCATAGAAAGGAGCTTCGACACCCATTCTCAGCTAGCGGGGAGTTCCCGACCCTTAGCCCCACTCCGCAGGCCAGCACCTACCGCGCCTGTCCAACCCAGTAAGAGGCCCAGACCTGCCATCCAGGCCCCTCCTCAGGCTACGGGGGCAGCACGTGGAAAGATCTGCCAGCACTGCAGCAGGGATCATGGGGATCGACCCTGCTACCGCCTCAGCAACACCTGTCGCATATGCGGCAGTGCCCAGCACTATGCAAGGGAATGCCCGAGGAACCAGAATCAAAGAAGGTCTCAAATCCAAGGCAGAGTTTACAACCTTACCTAGAAGGATGCCGACGCAGACCCGGACGTGGTACATGGTATATATACTATATATGGCCACATTGCTCATGTTTTGTTTGACACTGGTGCATCACATTCTTTTGTTTCACATGTTCTTGCTTCCAAAATTTGTGTATCACCTGATAGACTTGATTCATTGTTGCTTGTATCTACCGCTGGGGGGGAGACATTACTAGGAGAGGTTATCTACAGGGCATGTGCCGTAGAGATAGCAGATAAAAAACTGAGAGTAGACCTGATAGGGTTAGACACGGGGGATTTTGATGTAATCCTAGGAATGGATTGGCTAGCGGCGTATCACGCCACCATAGACTGCTTTAACAAAAAAGTTGTATTTAATCCTCCCAACGAGGAGCCATTTACAAGTTAATAAAATCATTCAGTACTGATTTTCCCTGATGGCGAGTTTTCTTAATTCCCAGTGCCTTAATCTTGTATTTTCTCTAACTAGGTAAGCCTAAAAAGGAAGTTTGTATCCAAGAGATTCCAGTAGTCTAA